AGAGAGAGAGAGAGAGAGAGAGAGAGAGAAAGTTGTTAATAGCTTGGAGACATATGGATAACTTTCCTCTACTTCTCCAGGAGCAGCAGTTTTATAGATACTCTTCTCGGCCGTCTTCTTTCTCTCTTCCTCTTATCCCCTCTCTCTGTCTCTCCTCACATCCCCACCTGAGAACAGAAGACCTGCCACTGGTTGCTGCAGTTACGGCTCTTTTCATAGCAAGGCAGAGGATGTGGTCCCTGTTGCCAGAAATGAGGGCGAACACTCAGGTTTTGTACATCAGCCGAGGGCAAACAACTCCTACTTAATCTTGAGTGCAGAGAAATGACCACTGAGCATGAGGCACCTCTCTGAGTGACAGCAGGTGCCGGGCTCCAGGCCTTCTGCAGGGAGATTAAAAGGCAGACTGGTGCCCTCTGCAGGCCAGACTGCTTATCTGCTTACTGGCTTGGCTGAGCAGTTCATATTTGTCATGGAAACTGCCACAGTCATTCATACATCCATTCATTTGTTGTCGGCTTTTCTCTTTTAGAAAACATTTATTGAGCACCTACTATGTGTCAGGTCTCTGCTGGGTGCGGGGAATGTAGTGGTGATCAAGACAGCTACTGTTCTGATCTTCCCTGAGCTCGGAGGTGGAAGAAGAGAAATCAGGCAATTATATTATAGCTTGATGAATGATTGAAGCAGGGAAGTGCAGGGGGCACGGGGACCAAAGAGGAGGGGCCTTAACCTGGACAGTCGAGAAAATTCTTGGAGGAAGGAGTATCTGAGTTGTGACTTCAAGGAAGAAGAGGTAACATCCAGTGTAAAGGTGGGTAATGTAGGGCCTGGGTTGGAGGAGGTAGAAGAGGATTCCAGGCAGAGGGAATAACATGCCTGCAACCTGAAGGCAAAGAGCACCCTGGCCATGGGAATCATCTTAGAATGTAAGTGTGGGGATCCCACCTGACCTACTGAATCTGAGTTGCCCAGGGGTAGGACCTGGACAAGTGTGTTTTCAATTTGTGACAGGTGAGCTGGAACATAGCCAGGGTTGAAAATCTACTGAAAAGGAAGACTGGAATTTTTGAAGTACTGAAAGTACTTTGCTCTGGCCAGAGCATGGAACTGGGAGACACAATTTGAGAAAGGAGGCTGCAAAAGTTTTTTTAAAAAGATGAGAGACATCTGGATCCTGAAGGACAGCATCAGCCATATATGGGAGTTTGTACTCTACCCTGAAGGCAGTGGGGGCCTGTGGAAGGGAATTAGGCAGGGCAAGGATGAGATGGGGTCTGCATTTAAAAACAAATCCTAGTTTCAGGGTGGAAAATGGATTGGAAGGGGATGAGCATGTAGCCAGGGAGTTCAGGGCAGAAGGTGCTGCAGAGATCCAGGATGAGACGATGGTGGCCTGGAGCTAGGAAGGGCCATGGGGACATGGAGGAGTGGACAGAGATATTTAGGAGGTAGGATAATGAAGATTTGAGACTGGTTGAATATGGAAATGCAGGAAAGGGAGCAGCTAAGGAATACCCTACTTCCTTCTTAAGTAATGGAGAGGATGGAGATGTTTTAAGCTGAAAAATGTAAAAGGGGAATTTAGCTGTTGATCTACTAATGTGGTGCTGTACTTGGAAGTGTGGTTTAATACTTGCTTCATGTTAGATTTGATTCTGCACATGGATCATATGAGGTAAGAAAACACTGAGTGCCCTCACTCCTAAACACACACACACAGACACATGTATTCCAGATGGATTAGTGATCCATCTCTCTATTATCTAAGTATGTATATGTGTGTGTATGAAACAGAAGAAATATGCATATGAAAATAGAAGAAAATGTAAAATACTTACAAAATCTTGGGGTGAAGAGATCTTAAGCAAGATGGGAAACCCAAAAGAGCAACATAAACAAAGGCAAAAGAGAAAGAAAATATTTGCCATAGGCAAAGGTTGCTATCTCTAATATACAAAGAATACTTCCACATTCATAGGAAAAGATGAATTAAGTCTTAGAAAACTGGGCAAAAGGTAAGAACAGTAACTAACTAAAGAGGAAATGCAAATACCTAATAAACATATGAAAAGATATTAAACCTTCTGGAGAGTCAGGGAAATGCAAACCAAAATGAAATTTCAATATCATCTTTCCAGTTAGATTGACAGGAATTAAAAAGACATCAAATTCAGGAGAGAATATTGGGAAAAGGACATGCTCATGCATGCCTAGTATTTCTTAATAGTTTCACTATTTGGCAGTTTCTACTAAAATTTAAAAAAATGCATGTGGGCATGAACCTCAGTCTGTGAATTGATGGGCATGAAAAATACCATTTCTGTTTTTGACAGAGCAACTTAATTTCTGATGCTAAACCACCATTCTTTCAGGTTGGGGAAAAACATAATCTTAATCCTTTGGAGACTTCTCACCCTCAAGGTTACATCCAGAGGTGGATTTATACTGTCTTGGTCTGTAGGTTCAAGGGCACCAGTCTTACCTGCAAAGCTAGATTATAACGCAAGCACCTTTCATGATGTACTAGGTCTTTTCCTGCTCTGTGCTTGGCATGAGTTGAGCACAACCATCTTTCTCTGATTCCATCCTCTGGTTCTGGGCATCCTTTAGAGAGAGCAGATGGGATCTGGCACTTTAAACATGTGTCCTCAGAGATATCACTATTGCTAATGAGTGTTGATTTGGTTTTCTCTAAACACTACTCAATGCTTTCCTAGGGGAGCTGCACAGATGCGGCATTACTTTTTAATTGAATCTTCTATGGATAAATTGGCTTTATTAATAACATTTGCAGGACACAACAGTCTCTGTCAGTGTTTGCCATATGTTGTTGGCATATGTAGGGGTGCCTGTTTTAAATCCGTTATAATAAACTGTAACAAGATGATTGTATTCTAGGAGATAATTCACCCAGGTGTTTTCTATTCTCAAAAAGCTCTTCCTCAATTTTGTGCCTGGTATACTCCTCTTATCCTTCAAGATCCAGCTTAAATGTCAAATATTTTTTTTACAGCTTCTTTCAAATTTCATACACCAGTCTTCTCCCCCTACCCCTGCTGCCAAGTCAAAAGGGTTCATCACTCCTTTATCACTCTCAAAAGCACAAGCAACAAGAGAAGGAAATATAAATTGGACTTCGTCAAAATAAATAAAAAAAACTTTTGTATTTTAAAAGATACCATAAAGAAAGTGAGAAGACAACTTAGAAGAATGGGAGAAGATAATTGCAAATCAGATATCTGATAAGGGACTGTGTCTAGAATGTTCTCTACATACAGAACATTTATAACTCAATAATAAAAAGAGAAATAACCCAATTAAAAAATAGGCAGCACAAAATTTAAGTAGAAATTTTGCTAAAGAAGATATAAACTGTCCAATAAGCACATAAAAATACTCAACATTATTAGTTATTAGAGAAATACTAAAAATACATTAAAAACCATTGAATTGTGCACTTTAAACAGCTGAATTTTATAGTGTATTATTGTTATCTCAGTAAAGCTGTTTTAAAAAATGACATGCAGAATGTAGCGTGATTAGAAGTCACATCCATGCCACTAAAATGGGATGGCATTGGCCAGTGGTCATTAGAACATAATGATTAGGTTTTATTACCAAGTTGAACGTTTTTTGAGGGGCAGATGCCTCTGAAGTCTGTGTCCCCACCTCCCACCTACCTCTGATTCCAGCACTTGCTTGCTGGACAGCTCCCACTTGCTGGACAGCTCCCTTTGAGCTCAGATTCAATTCATCTTGCCAGGGTCCCACTTGAAGGGCTCCATCCTCATTCTGAATCTTCCCTGAGGTGGGGTGTGTGTGTGTGTGTGTGTGTGTGTGTGTGAGAGAGAGAGAGAGAGAGAGAGAGTAAAGGTTTTAACAACAAATTCAATTTATTTAAAAGATGTAGGGCTATTCAGATATTCTATTCCTTCTTGTGTGAGGGGGAGTAAATACCTGCAGGGGCAACCCTCAACTTATGAGAGCTGTAGTCAACAGATACATCTGCAGCCTCCTGTCCTTTAGGTGGACAATGGCAGATATTTTGTATGCTTCCCAGATGTCCCCCTGAAACTGAACCCCCATCGTTCATAACATGTCTTATTATTGGATATTTCTCCTCAGCCATTTCATTCACCCTTTTTCTCATATCTGTTTCCTGGGATTACCTCCCAAATAAATTAACTGCTCCCAAGTCCCTGTCACAGGTTCAGCTCTGGGGGGAGAGGATCTGTACTAAGTCCTCCAGGGGACCTACTACGTGCCAGGCTTCTTTGGTATACATTTTTCCTTGCTTGATTATTTACTCCAAGAAGGCAGAACTATGAGTTGTCC